ATATATATATTGAATTTATAATTATAATATAATCACATTATTTTAAACTTTTGCTTATTGTAATAATCCAATTCACTTAATATATAGTTAATGAACTTGAAAAAGATTATCAGTTCTCTTCCATAATATAAGATTCCATAAATATTAATGACCTTTACCTGTTATTCTCTATATAAGTTGCGATAGATTCAACAACATCACGTGCTCTTCATATGAAACCATGAGAGATAACATTCTGGAAAGCACTGTATACTTGTGTGTTGATCATGGAATGTTGGACGAAAGCGATTTTGAGACACTCTGTACGCCATTCGCCTAATAAAATTAATGCAAATGAACCGCTCACGACAGCAGACGCTTCGCGTCTGAGGCGAATTGTCGCACTTACCTCGAGAAGACATCTCAAAGATATCTAATTACGTAAAAAATTAAGATAGAAGGCGTGAAATTGGTTGTTGAGGCGATAAGATCCCCCAACTGAGCGAGGATACTGCGATAACGACTGCAAAGTGTTGTCTCTCTGGTGACCACTTGTTTGTGTCTTTCATCCAGTTGCTCAGTTTGCTTTACGTTCTCTGCCACGCACGTCCGGATCGACTGTAAGCATAATGACTGATCAAAATAAAGTGATCAATTTCGGCGCCGGCCCGGCTAAATTGCCGCATGAGGTATGTTTTATAATATTCTTCCTACATTCTTTTTTTGCATTCTTGTATTTGCACCAATAGAAATTCACAAATTAACAGATTATTTCTTAAAGAAATGAATGATCGATTCTAAAACTAATTTTGCTGCTTTACAATATATTTAAAGAAGAAATAGCTGAAAAACGTACATAATTTTAAAAAAATACATGAATGAAAAAAAAAATCTATAAAGAATATAAAATATTTATTAAATATAAAGTATATTTTACGAGATGTATAACTATAAAGAAATAGGAAAAAATGGCATATAATTATTAATCTATTTCAAATTTACTAATATATACTGTGTGAATATTTTTATATATTCTACGTGATTATATATATAATTATATAAACGATACACGAATACGGCATATATATATATATATATGAAAAAAATTTAATGATTTTTGCTTCTGTGTAGCAACATAAAACTCAGGATAGATTTCATCAGTTGTAATTAGCAGCCGTAATAAAAACACGTTATTATTTTTCCGAGATACGGCCGACAAAACAACTGTCCGTAGATAGCTTCCACATTTGTGCCATTAAAAGTTTTCGAATATCTGCGCATAAAATTATCTGATTTCAATAACAATTGGTTCTTTCCAAAATTAAAAAAAAAAAAAAATAAAAAACTGATATAAAATGAACGAATTATTCATTCATTCGTATAACTTTAAAATTAAAAAAGTTCATATAATTTCGAAATATTCTATATACAGAATTTTTTTGCATAAATTCTAATATAATTAAAATGTCAATGTAATAGTTACTTTATATTTTGTCAATATTCTTATATCCTTTTTATAATCTTTCTAAATTCCTTTTATCTTGTTCTATATTTGTGCCATATCTGTTTCGTAATTTTCTAATAACTGTGTTTAAAATTGTTCTTTCTATTTGAACAAAGTTACGCACGCAAGTTTGATTAATATCGCGTACTAATCAAACATTCAACTGTTTTGCAATTCATGCAATAATCCGAATGCGTATGCATCACGTGCATCGATAATGATTTAAAAGAAGTTTATAGAAGTTATTTATGTATGCAATGGTATAGCAAGTAGCACAAAATACTAGTATAATTTTCGAAAGACTTACACAAGAGTGACTCCTGATTTTTAATTCTGTCATATCGATGACGAATAAACAGCCATGCATTTTACGCGTCATTATTATCACAATAAAGTAATGAGTTCCGTTTGCTTGTGTGATAAACGCAAATGGTTCTGAGATAAATACCTGAAATTCTACGATTATGTTGTGTTTTTATATTAATTGATACTGGACCACAAGAGATAACAGAGAAAGCATGCGGGTCAATCGCGTTCATTGAACTAACTCGCGTATGTCGGTTAATCGAGATTGCTCCATTATTTACAGGTTCTGAAAGACGTGCAAAAGGAATTGCTTGGATATGGAAACACGCAAATCAGCATCCTCGAATTAAGTCATCGGTCGAATGATTTTAATAATGTCATCAATAATGCCCAGACCACATTACGGGATATCCTGTGAGTCTAGACTAAAAATCACATTCAAATTATTCGACATATGACTGGCTTATTTTGAAAGTGATACAAATTTATTTAAATGTATATAAAAATTTATTTTTGCAAGACGTTTAGAAACTGAACCATTTTCTTATATCGTTTTCTCAAAATAAACGATGCAATATAATAAAAAATTATAATAAAATCCTCTAGAACTCTCAATCTTAATGTTAATATTCTTAAACAGTTACCATCGACTTTTTCCCAATTAATTGAAATGTTCATATAATATATAATAGAGCAATTAAAATTAAATTTATGATTCTTTTATCCTTTAGAGTTCATTATTCTGCCAGAAAAATATAATAATCGTAATTATAATATTCGAGTTTCTTCGTAATTCTATTGATTTTGATAAGATGTTCTTTTTTTTTTAAAGAAACGTTCCCGAAAACTATAAAATTTTGTTCATGCAAGGAGGCGGCACTGGACTTTTTGCAGCAATTCCTCTGAACATATTGAAAACCGGAACTGCGGACTATCTAGTAACTGGTAAGAGTGAAAAATAAAAAGATGCAGCAGTTTTTAATTTTTTAAACAAAATAATGAAATAAAATTTTTTTTCAGGTTCATGGTCGGCAAAAGCGGCGAAAGAAGCGACCAAGTATGGAAAAGTGAATATGGTGTTACCTAAAACAACAAAGTACACAGAAATTCCGGATCCTTCCATTTGGAACCTAGATCCGAATGCTTCATATGTTTATTATTGTGACAACGAGACTGTCCATGGTGAATAAAATGCTTCAAACTGTTTTCTTCTTATTGTTTCACACCACTATATGTGAAATAAATGTCGAAATAAATGCTTCCAGGAATTGAATTCGGTTTTATTCCGGAGACAAATGGAGTGCCACTTGTCGCTGACATGTCGTCCAATATACTGTCGAAATCTTTTGATGTATCCAAGGTATAAGCATCTTGATTGAAAGTGTATCAAGATGTGATTTGCATTTAATGACTTTTATTTGTAAATCACGTAGCGTGTGATTTCATATTATTTCATCATTTTCTAAGTGATTTACAATAGAGCAATTCCGAATTGATATAACTGTTTGCGACAACTTCTGTCAAAAAATTTCTTATCTATCTAGAACTCGTATTATACATCACGTTTTCTTTTAGTTCGCGTTAATCTTTGCGGGTGCGCAAAAGAACATCGGCCCAGCCGGTGTAACTTTGGTAATCATACGGGATGATCTACTCGGCCGTGCCATGGATGTGTGCCCAACGGTGTTGAATTTTACCATTATGGCGAATGATAATTCTCTGCACAACACGCCACCCGTCTTTCAAATTTATGTAGTGGGGTTGGTGTTCGAATGGATCAAACGGAATGGTGGCGTCGAAGGTATGCAAAACTTTGCACAGAAGAAGAACAGCAAGATATACGATGTGATCGACAATTCAGGAGGTTTCTATACATGTCCTATCAAGCGAGATGCGCGTAGTAGAATGAATATTCCGTTCAGAATAGGTAATGGTGATGAGAAGCTCGAAAAGGAGTTCCTTTCTGGTGCCGCAGCTCGCGGTATGTTGCAGCTAAAAGGTCACAGGTCAGCAAAAAATATCTGTCAGAAATGATATATTTAACTACAGTAAAGTTATAGCAGAAAATGATTTTGTTTACACGTTCATTATGACAATCTTTAAAAGTTCAAAAATTTTATAATAAAAGAATAATTTTTTTTTCATAAAATATTCAATTGATATTCAAGTAGCTATGATTTCTCTTTACAGATCGGTAGGTGGAATACGCGCATCTTTGTATAACGCAGTTACAGAAAAAGAGGCGGACGCATTGGCCGATTACATGAAATGGTTTCATAATGAACATTGCAAATAGTCTGAAAAATAACTAACTAAACATTTTGAGAAAATGATAGATATATGTTTTTGAGAAAAAAAAATCTATTCAAAAATGTTATTTATATAAATATACATTTGTATCGTATATAACTTTTATATACAAGTTTTCATATGCAATATATTTTGATGTTATTTTTGCTCTTACCATTGTACTTACAATTTCATCAATTGCATTCTCAGAATTTGTACTAGCAACTCTCTTCAGAAGTATCGCAATGATTTGCAAATAAAATATCTAATTCTCTTTCTAAAGCAGGATTAGTTTTACGACACCCATCTATGACAGCTTTCGCCCACTAAAATAAATTAAAATTTTGGAATGTAATATTGATGCAATTCTTTTTTATAACTTTTATTATCTTTACTAATAAGAATGCTTTACCTTAAAATATTCCTTTACTCTTT